TACTTCAATCAATTAATTAACATATATTAGAAAAATAAAATATATAAAGCCTTGAAAAGACTACCCTCATAAATGTTCAGTGATTTTACACAGTACGTAATACAGGAATGCTGAAGTTGTGTGCTGTCTCATGAGATTTCCAGGTTCTTTCATAAGCTCTCTTGAAAATTTGTGAGATTCTGTGAAAGCACCAAGAATCTGAGAATTAAAGGAAAGGATCACAATGTTACCTCCACAATAATTTCAGTTTCACTTGCTGCCCTCTCAAATAGCTAGTCAGTTTCGCAACTAAATGAACCAAACAATGACCTCCTCAATAAAGATTACACACACACACACACAGAGAGAGAGAGAGAGAGAGAGAGAGAGCGCTAAATTATGCTTACACATATGACTCAGAATTCTTTCTTTCTTTCTTTGGCACAAATGGAAAAACTGTAGTATGACAAAAGGAGAGTGGTTAGAGACATTAACATTACTGTTACACCATGAAGCAGATTTTATCTCCCATATATGCCAGGCAACTTTCTAAAGAGCAACGCCTCTAAAGGAGAGTTCTTATTATTACTGGAAATATCACAGTCACCTTATAGCAGAGATGGAAGGCATAAAAATTTAAATAAACAAACAAATTAAATCATAAATATCATGTAGCCCAATCTTCTGCTCAGTATAGGATCTACTAGAGCATTTCTGACAAATGATCAACCGACCTCTGTCTGAAGACACTTAAGAGAAGGAGAACTCACCAGTTAGTCTGTTCCAGCTGTTGCTGGCTGCTGCTGTCTACCATATTTTCCTAGCAGTTGAATCACTCTTTCCTTTTATTTCTTGACATAGCTAAGAAGCCCTTCTTATTTTAATTTCCTTGTGAGCCTAAGATCCTTTCATGTTTTTCTGGTTTTCTTTCAGCAGATATTAGTTAATTGTGGGTATTATCAACTGCAGATATTATTCACTTGAACCTATCTTCCATCTGCATATCCCTTTTAACTTTTGGCTCAGTCAAAAGTTAAGATGAATCTACAAATGTTTCATAAGCTATTTAAAAAATATTATTACTAGAAGGGTGTGTAATTGTTCTTCCAGTGTCATATTTCTCAGGAGTTTCCTATTCCCCTGTATTCTCTTTGACATGAGGATTTCCATCCATGAGAACTGGCCTTTCCAAATTTATTGAAATTGGCACTCCTGAAATCTAGGTTTATATATGTATTCCAAAATGAATCCCCTTTTTTCTTCTTCAACCCTAACCCCCACCCTGCCCCCATCACTGGCATGTTTACTGTTTTTAAACCTTTGCACTGTTTGATTGTTGGCTAGTTTTGCTGTTATTTTATTGCAACATTGTCCTTTTCGTTCCTACCATTTATTGTGCTTTTTTTCCTTTCTTCTTCCACTGATTTTTTTTTTATTTGACATTTAAATGTATCGATGCACTACACACAGGTTGGTAAGCGATATAAAAGTGCAACTCAAAAAGTAGTCAGTATGTTATTTTTTCCAGCCACAGCAATATTTTTAAGATTTCGATTCCTTCATTAAACATATTGTCAGGTGAGCTTGGTTCTTGGGGAAAGAGAAAAGTTGTGTTAGTTGTCACTAGTACTACTTTATCACAGATGCAAAGCAGAGATTGTTGTCCTAGAATTGCAGATTCTGATATTTCAGGCAGCATTTCATTTCTCTAGTTTTCAATGCAGCCAATACCTAAATGTTGGTAGACTTTGCTCAGGTCATGTTTGAAGAGAACTAGCCGCCTGTTTGTGTTTGTTCTTTTAAGCCAAAGTTGGTGAAATCTGAGCAAAGGCTGATAGAATTATTCAGGAAGGATTCAAAAAACTTGGGGCAGGAAATCAGGCCAGAACATCACATTCTCATCTCAGATAAAAAACCAAACAATTATTCACTCTTCAGAATTCAAATAGTTTGAATAGTGAATGTGAGAGGAGGCATAAATGTGCTTAGAGATTTTTTTTGGTAGCTTAAGCAATGTTTAATAGGAAGAACAGGAAAGGTGGAGAGATACCACCAATATAACTAGGCATTAGCCTTTCTCTGCCCACGGAGCAGAAAGAAACAAGGTTAGAAAGCTCAAAAGTGGGGGAAAAAATAGCCCCTCCATTTTTTTCCTATTCTTGTAATTCTTTATTAAAGCAGCAATGCTGATACTGCCATGGGCTTCTTGTTAATTTCCGGAGCTGTAGTCTTGTTCAATAGTTGCGAGCAAGTTCTCTTCTTGGCTCAGTCTCAATCTTCCATATGCACACAGATATTGTATTTTCAACAGACAAATTAGAAAAGCAAGCCCAGAGTCCATTTTTCATATCTCAACTTGGAAGGAAAAACATTTAAGTGAGTTGGTCGTTAGAATCCCAAACGTGCTAATTGATTGATTTGATTTATATGGCTGCACATCTTGCTTCTGCAATTCTGGATGCTTAACAATGCAGTAATTAAACCCATAACAGTCAAACCTAAAAATTCAAATAAAAATAGCCATAACAACAGTGATACAATGAAGCAAAGATCCTAAAAGAAACAAACAAAAACACCCTATAGCCTATAACCAGGGGTCCTCTAATAACCTAATATCCTGGCCAGTTTCTGGGGGGAATAACCAGGTTTTAAGAGCTTTTTAGAACATCAACAGGGTTGAAACTATCAAATCTTGAGCGAAATGGTGCTCCATTGGACAAATGCTACAACAGGCAGATCTTCCAGGTCACACTAGAAGACATTGCTTGAAAGAAGAGATCTAAAGCATGCTCACTGTAGATAAGCAGAAATGATGAGAGACAGGAGTCCTCTAAATAACCTGGCCATATGCTATGTAGGAGTTTATAGGTAACAATGAGCACCTTGAAGCCTAGTGGGAGCCAGTACAGCTCAAAACCGATAGCCATTGGGTTTTACTAAAGGTGACCCACAACCGTTTCTTTCCCATGTAGACCCTCATAGCCTCCAAACATTGGGAAAGTATCTCAGCATTACCTATCAACCTGGAACAAAAATGTATAACTCAGTATCATCAACATACAAACATGCCTCACCCTATGCCAATGTCTAACAGCTAACCTAACAGCTTCATGTAGAGTTGAATTTTACACTTTCTCTTTGTAGAAGAGCAGGGGATAGAGAGTAAGCTGAGAGTATGGGCCTGTTCCTTCAATTAATTTATTTTTCAGTTTTTCTACTAATCCAGACAAAGCTCAGGTCCCTTACAGGGAAAGGTAACCCGAAGAGACATTTTTCATCCCACAAATGTATAAAATATAGTTGGAGATGTCTCAAGTTTGAAAAGAGAAATGTGGAATTGTTGGCTTTTAATAAATAGATTTCTGATGCTGAAATGTTCAATATCAATTTCAAATTAGTCTGTTACATTTAGCATTTACAATCTGGCAAAAACTCCTCTAGAGCAGGGCTTTTCAACTGGTGGTATGCGTACCACCTGTGGTACTTTGCCATGTGGCAGGTGGTACGCGACCATTCTAGAAAAGTGTAGTGGGGGAGGGGAATGAGCTGAAGTGACCCAAGCCTGAGGGAGAGGCAGCTGCAGCTGCAGGACTGTCTGAGGCTCAGCAAAAGCCCCAGGAGCTGGCAGGGCTCCAGCTGATTGGTTCCAGCTGATTGGCGCTTCTGGAAACAGCACAGAGCTGCAGGTGAACTGAAGAAAAAGAGGGGGAAGAGAGGAGAGGCTATAAAAAGAGGTGGTTTGGGCAAGAAAGGGAAAAAAAGACAACAGGGAAAGAGACGGAGAGCTCAGCAGGCAGGGAGGAAACAGGGATAGGGAAGAAGCAGCAGGTGTTGCTGGAAGAAAAGGTTTCCTGGTTCGTCTTCTCCAGCCAGAAGAATGCAATCAGCACTGATGAAATGAAAAGCCGACAGACAAGTATGTTGGAAAATAGGTGGGCTTATTTAGTTCTGGATCAACTGGCAGCTTGATTGGGTTACCATAAGGATTTATGTACAGTTTTTACAGCATTTTGTAATTCAGAGGCTTGGTTTATGTGCTTTGGTTATTGGAATATTTAAACTGTATTTTAGGCTAGCAGTGAGTCCAAAGTGTTGACTTCTGTAGGTTTAATCCCTTTAAACAAATGTAATTAGTTTTACCCCCTTATCCTGAGTCTGTCTATGGCTTTTAGAAAGTTTTCTTTGAAGATAAATAGGCTTAATTTAAAGCTAAAGCTTTTCGTAATTGTCAGAGTCTTTCAGTCTCAGATTACAACATTGTGATATGTGACATCCCTGAGGCAACTTAAAGAAAAAAAAAACAGGACTTTATGTGTTTCTTTATTTTGTGAGCCTTTCTTGCTTTGCACTTGATTCCTGTGTCTCTAAGGGTACAGGGAAGAGATGAGGGTGCATTCTTACTACACTGCGGAAGGAGAGCTTAGAAGGGAGAGAGGAAAAAGGGTCAACCAGCTAGCTCAGGGGTCTACAAACTTAGCAACTTTAAGACCAGTGGACTTCAACTCTCAGAATTCCTCAACCAGCCATAATGGCTGAGGAATTCTGGGAGTTGAAGTCCACATGTCTTAAAAGTGCCAAGTTTGAAGACCCCTGAGCTAGTTGGTAGTGGTACATATTAATAAACATGGATAAATTCATCATACATTTCCTACAAAGGGAAAGTGATTTAGCAAAGGAACAGCCACCGAAGGAATTAAAACTGGTCCTTTTTTGCTTTTTTCTACAGTTTGTAATATTTTATTAGATTATAGAATAAAATACAAAAATACAAAAGCAAATACTAGGACACAGTAGGGAGGAAAAAGGGAGGAAAGTGAGGGGGAGAAGGGAAAAAGAATAGACTTCCTCTGTTGCAATAGAAGGAACCATTAACATTGAACCTCAACTTTTTACTTTTTCATAATGTTATAAACTAGCTATTTCTATAACAACAAATGAATCTAATCAGTAAAACCCAAAATCCACCCTTCCTTTTTTTTAGTCATCAAGTTTTTGACACCTTGCTAAGCACTGGTGGTACTCAAATATTGTCATGTCCTAAAAGTGGTACAATCTGTGAAAAGGTTGAAAAGCCCTGCTCTAGAGAACCTCATATGTTTTATCTCAGAGGTAATTTGCAGTCTTTAATATTTCTATTAAAGATGATGCAGAATTTTTACTTATAACCTACTCCTCATAAGCACTTCTATATATTTTCCATGATGGGAGGATGGAATCATGTGTGGAACATTAATAAAATTGCATCTCTCATTCCATTATAAGCATCTTCTATTTGTTGATTCTTGCAGTACAAAACCTATAGGCCTAGATCTATAAGTGTAAGCTTTCATAAATTGGGAAATCAAACTATATTATGTCTCCCTTTAAGCATTATTTTGAAAAACAGATAGCTATTAGATACCAAGAGACCAGCAAATTAACTCTTTGTAATGGTATGTCAGAAAGACCTTGGGAGATAGAGTGAAGAGATGCTGTCTATGGAATGGTTAACAAGAGAAGTCATAACCCGTAGCTGGATAGAGGGCATAGCAAAAATCTCAGCAAGGACTTTCCCTAATTTCTTAGGCTGTAACAGAGATGTGGGAGGTTTGTACTTTCAGACTTGCAAAATTCTGTTAATGTACCTTTACAATAAAGTTGAATTAGCTTATAGGGTTATGTTTCCTCTCTGGGCTACCTGGTAAGGCTGACATCAACCTTGCAAGTGTGAAGAAGTGTGTCTTTTCATCCTGTCTCCCAAGGTCTTTCCCACATTACACTCTATCTAAAAGCTAGCAGATATACACTGCAAAACATCTGGATGATTATTAGCAAAGCTATTTCTTTGGTGCCATTTTTTTGCAGCCCAGATCTACTAGCTATACTCTGCCCCATTTAATTCTGGTTCTGTTTGGTTGATACATTGCTAAGCTGGTTCAAGTACCTGCTATAGTAACAAAACATAGCATTCTTGTAAGCAATGCCAACTTCAGGATCATTTTTTGGTTTTGGCCTATGGATCAGAATTATCAACAATTGTATTTTTAGATGGATTACTTAGAATACAGGATTTATTTTTGTTACAAACTTCCAGAAGTACATGTGATCAAATAAAAAAAAGATAGCTCCTAGTTGCAATCTAAAAAAGCTACTTTACCATAAAAAGAAAAGGTTGAGGGAAGGAAAGAGGAAAAATTAAAGTAAAGTTTAAATAATTCTTAACATTCTAATGTTTGGAATGGAATAGATCGAACTTAAGATGAGTCAATACAGATGATCCTTCAGTAGCCAAATCTGACTATTTCTTATCTATTGGAATTAGCAACAGGATAGGCTGTTTGAAGAGGCATTTTTGCTGCTTCTTTGACATCTTATGTTTTGCTTTCTATTGTGAGTATACAAGCTACTATTGTAAACAAAACTCATGCAAGATAATTTATCTATTTATTTTTCACATTTTTGAACTACCCATCTCCCTCAGGGAGGAACTTGGGGTGTGTACTATTAAATGTTAAAATATAAAAACATTATATAAGAATTAAAATGTTTAAAACTTTTAGAATTTAGAAGGAGGCAAGGATGATTAAACCTGTTAAAAATTAATTAAAAAGGTGAAGGGTAGGCTCTCAGGGCACTAACCAGCCCCCTGGCTGGGTGCTCCTCTGGGCTCCCCATGTGAGGCCAGGAGAGTGGGGGCCTGCCTCACCACTGGGGGAAGAATATTCCACAGGGTGGAGGCAATAGCAGAGTAGGCTTTCTTCCTACCCCATTCTTTAACTGATGGGGTCTGCAGCACACCTTCTCTGCCTGAATGGGTGGGATGGGCCAGTGTAATGAAATGAAGCTGGTTCTGTAGGTAGCCTGGCCCTATGACATATAGGGCTTTATATGCAACCAACACCTTGAACTGGACATGGAAGCAAACTGGCACCCAGTTTTTGGAACAGAGGTGCACATATGCCCTTCTTTGGGCATCCAGAATTGTTCACTTAGCCACATTTTGCCCCAGCTGAAGCTTCCTGATACTTTTCAAGGGTAGCCCAATATACGATGCATTGTAATAGTCCAGATGGGAAATGACTAGGGCATGAGTGACCCAATAGAGAGCCTCCCTATTCAGGAAAGGGCATAACTGATGCATCACATGAAATTGAGCAAAGGCCCTCCTAGCCACGGCTGCCACCTTTTGAGCAGGAGCTGTGAGTCAGGAAGAACCCCTCACATCATTCTGTGGTGATGGATGATTTTACCCAGAAATTTCATGCAGATGATTTAAAAAAAAGTAGAGAGAGAGCACTGAGGGCAAAGCATGAGCTAGATTTCTTGCTCCCTATCAACACTGATTGGGACTGGCACTGGAAGAGGCCAGCACAAAACTGTATTACCTACGCACAACTCCCGAAACCAGCTCCAAAGATAGCATGGTCAAGCAGAAAGCTGCTGAGAAGTCAAGAAGATCAAGGATGGATGCACCACCTCCATCCCACTACTGCCAGAGATCATCCATGAATGCAATCAATGCTGCTTCAGTCCCATATATGGGCCTGAAATCTGACTGAAAAGGACCCAGATAATCCATTTAGTCCAGGATCCTCTGGAGTTGCAATGCCACCACCTTTTCTAAAAACCACCTTCCCTAAAAAAGGTAAGCAGGAGACTGCACAAAGGTTGTCCAGAATAGTAGGTTTCAGAGATGCCTTTTTAAGTAGGGGGAACACCACGCCTCTTGAAAAGATGCCGGAAATTACCCTCTTCAACAAGGATGGAATTAATTAATTTATTGTGTTGCACTACATTGTGATACATGAGGTGAAAAAGCACATCATAATGCATACTCCTTTTTTGAATATGTATGTGCAATAAAATAACTACTTTAATGTTTCATAAGAAAAGACTTTTGTGCAATTTTACTAAATCCAAGTGGGCTGATAACTCAGTGCATAATTTTTGAACACTGATGGTCATGATTTGCTCCTTTCCAATCTGAATAGCAATCCTTCAGAACTAGTAGAGATTACGCCACATATAATCATCAGGATTTGAAGAATGAGAATGCAGTGAAGATAGACTGAAATTCTTATGAAATACATTATGCTATTTCCTGGATTGCAATTAGGCCATCAGACTGTTAGAGTAATCTGTAAATTAGTTTTTAATGTAAAGGTAAATAGGATGACAACAAAATGCTAGGCAAAGAGACTTAGAATTGGCTTTGAGCCTTCATGAAACCATCTATGAGGGTCTGCCTCCTATTTCGTAAGGGTCTCCTACTTTGCTTCTCTGCCTTCTAAGCCTCTAATAACACACATCCACTTAACTCAAATCTCTGGAACAGGGAGTTCTCAAGTTTTTATTACAATGAACTTCCGTAAATTGAGAAAACATCTAGCAAAGCCTTCCCAAGAGTGCATGACCAAACAAAAACAGACAGTGTTGAGTACACATGTCTTTTTTATTTCACAAGCAAACAGATCAAAGAAAAAAGGGAATGTAGAGCTGCTTGGATAAATATTATATGTTTAGAAGTGACTGAGTGAGTGAGAAGTTCCAAAAACTTAAATGCTTGCCCTATTCACTTATTCAACCCTGAAAGATGGATGGGACACCCAACAATGCCTGTACAGCACTTATCAGACAGAAATTGATCTGAACAAGGAACTGCCAGTCCACACACATAAGAGAGAAGTTGAGGAAGAGTTAGCTTGCAAGCTGAAAAACAGTTGCCTTAAGCAGTAGAATCTGGGTGACCTAAAAGGGCAGCAAATTAATCATCAGTTGTTTAATGGGATAATGCAAAGATTTGATTTGAAGACAATTTCTTACTGAAACTTCAGATACAATTGTGGAATCAGATTAGTATGTCAGCCTGAAGAAGATGTCTTTGAAGCAATGTGAAGATTCAGTGAACTTTTGCATATGCACACTTGCACACATTTATCAAATCAAGTATGTGAGTCATATATTCAGATCAAACTGACTTGGCTTTTTTAATCAAATTGTGGATTCAAATTGAGTTGACTCTTTGAATTGCAAATCTGAGTCAGACTTTGGCTGCTTTGCACAACCCTATTATTTCATTTTAACTGCCAGAGTTATGGCAAGGTTCTTACGGGATTTTTCATTTCATGTACGAAAATCATCTTGCTTTGCTTTGACTAGTAAACACCTTGACAGGGGAGTGATACTTGTTCCTCTGCTTTCAGGGTGTGTTAGCTTGTTGTGTTACTTGTCCCTCAAGTCCCAAGAGAGGCCTACTTTAGAATGCAGTTATTTCACAAAAATGTTAAACAATCATTGTTAATAGTACTTGTTATTTTTTGAAAGCCCATTAAGGCAGGGCTGAGTTGTACTTGCCTGCTCATTCCTGTAGCAATTGTATTTGTGATGAGCTTTATATGTCCTCATCCTGACTCTTGAATCGGGTGACATCCTATAAAAGGTGTGTCTGATGACTGTAGAAAATGGGATTGAAAATCCTTCTTTAAGATCCTTTGTTTGCCAGAGGCCCAGGTACCTGAGAAAACATAATGCCTGACAGGATAACTCAACATGTTTACTTTCCTGGATAAATGCTTAACAAATAATTGACACTAGATCAATTTAATAATGAAATTACCACCCGTATTACATGAGAATTACACATGAGAATTACAGTTCTCTTTTTCTCACTTTCTTCATGGCTTTTTTTTTCTTTCCTTGTTATCTCCAGCAATAGTGATTTTACAATCAAACTTTTCTCAGATTATATTGAATAATGTTGCTAAGAAATGATTAATTGCTTATTCTTAAACATTGTAAACAATACCACTTCTCTTTTCCTTCAATTACTGGTTCCTTTTTTAATTATCTAGAAATGGACCATTTATTAGGAACTGGGAGATTAGGTTTTCATCCATGGAACCACTTTATCCTTTGAATCTCATAAAATCAAATGTTTTTAAACATAAAATTCTCAAATTCTGCCTACCAAAAAGATGCCAGAGCTTTTCCCAGAAATGAAAACAAAGAATGGCTTGTGTAATCAATAGCAAGTCTATGTAACTTCCCCTTTGGCCAAATACTTCTAATGTCACATTGAACTTCTGTCCTGTGTAGGACATTCAATGCAAGACATTGAAGCTAGCACAGCAGCATGATTTCATACACAAATCTAGGTGTGTGATAGGTTTACCTTAGCATGAAATTTTAAATATATTTATTTCTCAAAACTTTTGAAAGCAAGAGCACATATTTTCATTACTCTTCTACAGTCAAACTCCATATATTAGCTACCCATTCTCCTTAATCTTTTCTTATATTAATTATTTTCTTACTCTAAATTACTAAACATGTTTAAGTATTATCTCTAAGGGCAACAAGGCAAAAAAATAATTCATATATTTAAAGAAGATATTCACTATCAATAAGCAAGAATGTCTGAACTGCTTCCCTCTCATTCATTCATTCATATGCCCATGTTTAATTTTTACTACAAGTAAGATGAAAGATGGCTTTTCAGTTCACTGCTGAATCTGCTATTTTTACCAGGAAGGTATCCTGATCTGGAGAAGATATAAGAGAGGAAAAAGCTTGATTTCAGCATCAACAAGCCAACAAAAACATGGTTTTGTTGCTGTCATTGTAAATTCCCCTCCCCCAACACTCATAGCCTAAATAAGCATCCTTCCTCCTGACATAATTTTTCCAGAGGCCGAAACCCTCTTCACCCTGAACAAGACAAAATTAATAGCTTAAGGCAAGTCCCAATGTGTCTCTTTTGACGTCCAATATATATGAAATACATACACAGAAGCTCTTGACAAAAGTTAAAAAACTGTATTGTTTTCTCTTACATTCTTTGACTCTTATTGGGAAGTGTGGTGGCTCTTGGCCTGGTTCAAGCTGTGGTTATGAGGGAGACTTCTCAGTTCCTTTTTCACCCAGAACAGGTCTATTAGGCAGAGATAGCAGATTTACACTATCATGAAAAGACAATGGTTTGTTCTTTTTATTGCCAAGGATTGAGAGAGGGATTTTCTCACAGAACTCAATGCCTTGAATAGCTTGGGCTCCTGAGCTCTTTTGATTTGAATGATTGGAACTATAATTTACTGATTTGCCTCAGGCAGAAAAAGGCCTGAACCTGATCATTATAACAGGGTGGTTCTTAGCCTTTCTCTGGGCCTAGTCACATTTGCCAGCATTCAGGAGTCAGCTTACATCGAGCAACTTTTCATTGGGATTCTAGCAACAGCTGATAAGAGAAACTTTCAACATGTGGTTCAGTGTGTGGATAATTGGCTTTCTTCTGTTATCTGCCCATCATATGAACTGTATCCGTATGAGAAAAACATGTTACTAGTGAATCATTTGAACTGGCCCAGAGATCAATGTACTGTAGGAAGGAAATCTTCTCCTGATGCAGGCACAGTGGACAATCCTTTTTTAGTCTTCCAAATATGTTTGTGAAACTCCATACACATTTAAATTAGTGATGTGTAGACATCACCTACTATTCACCCTAATCCACACACACAGTGACTGAGAAAATTCAGCTGCATGGCCTATGTAGACATCACCTACTACTCACCCTAATCCACACACACACAGTGACTGAGAAAATTCAGCTGCATAGCCTATGTAGACATCACCTACTATTCACCCTAATCCACACACACAGTGACTGAGAAAATTCAGCTGCATGGTCTTGCTGTCGTGCCAAATTTGTCAGCATTTCCATGATTTCACAATGGGACCTTTCTTTCACCTGGCTGTACTCTGATCATCAGTCATTCCTAGCCAGTGCCCTCTGTTCCCAAACAGGAAATAAATAAAAAGGCAAACAAGAACTTTTGCATCTTGATCTGTTCCCCTGTTGAATTGCAGTAGTGAAAACAAACTTGGAAGTAGATATTTATACTTTTTACATAGTTTAATACATCTAGTAAGCATGAACATTGCATAATTGTATAGAATTCCTTAATTATTCCTTGCTTTGAAAAGCTTAATGAGCAACCTTTTAAAGAATTTGATATATTTGTCCTTTTTTTAAAAGCTTTTTCTAAAGTGTTTGATTACACACTATAAAGATCATAAGAACTGACTCCTCATTCTGGTAAAAGTTTGCTTCCCAAGAGGCTAGAAACAAAATACTCAGTGTACAGTATTACACTGTTAATGTTTCTCACATGAACTTTCCCACGGGAGATTAAATGTGAAGAAAATTGATAAACGACCAATGCCATTGGTATGGCCCTGATGTCTTACTCTCCCCAGACGTGAGGGTGTTGTTTAAATTCATCATTAAGCTATTAATAGGTTTCTGTTAACAGTTCTGATTAACACTAGCTTAAGTGGCATTTATCACTGAAGCTATTGATTAGATAGCTTACTAAATTTGCAGTCTGTGTGCTTCTAGGTATTTATACCATAAATGGTTAAACTGCATTTTTCCTGTGCTCAAACAGGTTCCTGAAAGATCAGAATTTTCACTAACCTAAATATTGTCCCTCTAATCCCCAAAGAATGTGTCATGGGTGAAAAAGCACCAAGAGAGATGGCTTTTTTAGTTAATAGCCAACTTTTTTTTATTTGTAGGTGTGACAGCTGAACGTGACTTGCAGCTCCGTTGGAGTTGCAATGTGTTTTACCTTTGGATTTTATTTCCTTTCAGTTGCTTGAAAAAGCCTTTGCTGCTAGAAAAGGAAAGTATATTCTTGTATACAATTGTTGGTGAACAGTTCAGATATTTGGACCTTGATGCATACTGTTTTTCATATCAGTTTATTTACAAAAAAAAGGGGGGGGGGAAGCAGTTAATCACTGAGTCAGAGTGTGATAACAGGAGAAAGCATCATGCTCTTCGTGTTCTCCCTGATCAGCCAGATTGTTTTTCATTTGCTGATTATTCCACTGGGGGAGCCGGAAGGGATATTATTTATAGGCTTCTCCCAAATTTTACTTTGTGTCTGTTGCGTCCTTGGCGGGAAAACAGACACGAGAAGCAGCTGGAGTTCTCAGTTTCTTTTATTCAGCGTTCAGCTTACAGGAAGATGGCTTCAGCCTCGCCCAAACGCCTCGCAGCCTCTTATATAGGCAACTCCCGGGTAAATGGGTTACTTTTCCCGCGCCAGCACCCGCGCATGCGCACGGCGCTGGCGACAGCCTGTCTGGTCCCGGGCAGCTTTGCACCTGCCCGGGACTGCCTGCAAACGCCCGAGCCGTTTGCAAAGGCTCGGGACATAACACCCCTTTCCCCCGGGCTAAAACTACTACCAACATACAACATTTATTTTATATGACATTTTGCTCCCCAGTGCTCCCACTGTTTACTGGCCTTTGCCTTGCCAGCAATGTTATGTAGTCTTCTAGGTACTTGGGAGATTTCTTTGCTCTCTGTGACCTTCTTAGCTGTGGGTTACTGGCATAAGTCCCCTGACTGGAGGGAGGCGTGAGCCTATTCTCTCTATTGTGCCCTGGTGTCTTCCAAGGACTGTGCCCCGATGCCTGGCCTGCTTGCTTGCCCACCGGGCTCGTCAGGCCAGGGCTTCTGTTACTTTGTGACCTGGTTGACCTACCTAGCTGTAGACCCTCAGGCCCCTTGAAGTGATAGCCGCTGCTGGGCGTCTCTGTAGAACCTCCTAGGTCAGTCCAAGACCTGTCAGGAGGCTGTCCATTCCCTGAACCCCATTCTGTGTTCGGGCTCGTGTGGGTTTCTGTACTTTCCCAAAACTCAGGTGTTCCCTGATTTGTGCTAGGGTTGTTGTAGTCGGGACTTGGTTCCTCGACTAGCTCTGTGTATGTTTGACCCCCTGTAGGATTTGGGGTAAGGTCAGGCCAACTTTGGGGATTGTGTGCCAGCTCTCTTGCGGGGAATGATTTGTTGGGATGCCCCCGGGTATCCTCCGTGACTGGAGTGCTGTGTGACGTGTGTGGAACGTGAGTATGCCCCCGGGGTGACTCCCTGGCTGGAGTAGGCGTGAGTGCCTGTTGTGTGGGTAAGCTCCATGACTTCCTTTTCGGAGCAATTGCGGAATCTGGGGATGGGCCGTTTGTGGCTCCCTCAGTGGAGATGGGCAGTAGCTCTTGCCCTTCCCTTTGCTCCAAAGGGTCCCCCTCCCCCCCTGGAAAAGACCCAGGAGTCTCAGCAGAAAAGTCTCGCCTAGAGCGAAGTTGGTCGATGTGCCGACGCAGGACACGACCGTTGTCCAGGGCAACCTCGTAGGAGAGAGGACCTGTGATCCTGGACACAGAAGCGGGGACCCATGTATGACCAGGCCCGTAATTGCGAGCCCAAACCGGGGCACCCACAAGTAGTTGTCTAGGTGCCCTAGGATGTGAGGTAGATGAAGGCAGTCTGTCCGGATGCAACCGGTCAAGTCTAGTAGTAAGTTGGCGCCCCCAACGAAGTTCAGCTGGACTTCTCCCTGTAGAAGTGGACGGTGTGGTGCGATAAGAAAGGAGAAAGTCAGCCAACCTGTGATGCCAGTCCCCGTAGGTGAGTCTCTTCAAGGCGTCCTTTGCAATGCGCACCAT